GGATCGTTATGCACGAAGTATATATACCTGGATTTTTTGAAAACCGGGTTAGCAAAAATATCAACTCATTCTACTACTTGGTAATTTAAAACAACAAAACTCATTCAAAGGCCGGTTAAAAGCCTTTATCTGACGCCGGGCAGTAGGTTAATTAGCCTGTGCCTGGCTCTCAGATAGTATAGTGCGGACGTATTAAAACGAGCAAAGCGAAAATAAGACGCGCGCGACTTGGGAAAGGGGGCGGTGGCGGCGAGAAAAATGGGAGAGCCCCCGCGCATTTTTCGCATTTCTTTTTACTGAACGACTTTTCACCACTATCTCGGAGCCTGGAACAGGCTATAAGTTAATGGTCCCTAGAAGCATTCCAACGACTCCAAATTTAAAATGACGCGAATTTTAGAACATTTATTCAGTAAACTGACTTCGCGAAGATTCAAACCGGTGTCATTTCACATTTCAGTCTAGAAATTTTTAAGTTGAGTGAACTGCTGCGAAAGAGTGCCTCGTTAAGGCTTACATAACAACTTAAATAGTTGGCAAAACACTACTTTTTTCGCGGTCCGATAAACAACAGGATTCCCCATGGAATAGGTAACAAACTGAATGAAACATAGTGCACAAATTATTACCTTCTTATCTGCAAAAACCGGCCTACGGTGCAATGCCATTAGAGCCCGCTGAAACTCAGTAGACCTGGATCCAATTTTCCTGAGACGAGAGTTGCTTTTGCAAGGTACAATCAGCTGAGCTAAACACCGACGAAACAATACACTGACAATATTAATGGCTGGCACAGAATATTTTGGCGAAACCGCAATTCAACCACGCGATCACATACCTGTAAACACCATGCGGAAATCACACAATCACACACTTTCGCGGCACTGATAAGACTAGCCTGAGTATCAGGCGTTTCCCGGGGCGTTTCTGGGGAAAAGTAGTCTGTTACACAGCCGTTTTAGTGTCTGTGTAGCAGACTAGGAGAAAAGGGGAAAGATGGAAGCGAAAAAGGGAACTATAAAGCGTTTCAGGATCGCTTGACTTTTCTTAATAACATAAGATAGTTTGGATTGGTTGGGATTTTTAGATAAGTCAAATTTATTGAAAATACCGGACTGCCGGTCATTTAGTGTTTTGAAACTGCCTTGACCGGTTACCGGTCATATGGCCACAGCGAATAACAAAAGATCATTAGATTTCAATCAACAACGGCCCCAACTAACAGAGGGTGGTCCGCCTGTGGTCAAACAGCAGATAACAAGCACACGGGCAGCATGATTTTTCCTTTCTTTCTTCTGGAGAGTAAAACTGACAAGCCGTTGGGAGATTATACTTTTCAGAACCAGTCAGTAAAACTCATCTGCTGACAGGCCTTTTCCTTCATAAGGTTCTTTAACTGCTTTTTTCTATTCTCCTTTTAAGCTGAAATTGATGCCTTCTGACGATGTGTTCCCGTAGAGAAATCTCATCACGTTTCTTAATTGATTGTATTGAATACGAGAGTCTTAGACAGCAACTTCATTTTCATATTTCTGAAAATGATGCAACCTTCATTAATTTAACAGATCATGATAGAACGCTATATTTACTCAGACTGGACAATGACAAAACTTCACATATTATAGCCAGATATGCCCATCTGATGTTTAAAAAACGAAAACAGTTCCTGAGTCAAAAATCCAATTGCCTGCGTGCAGACGTCTCCTATTTCCTTTGTTGCACGCGTGCAACAAAGGAAATAGGAGACGTCTGCACGCAGGCAAAAAATCCAATTGATTAGGTAACTAAATTATAGTATAATTATTATCGATATAGTATATGCCGTATAATTTTGTTGTTTCCGTTCATATTTCTTTCTTTTTAAATTTTTTGTAGTTGAAAAAACCTTTCAAACCAAACCAAACTAGACCGATGCCTCCCTTTGGAGAGTAAGGCGCAATAAAGACATACTATACTATACTAACGACATATGTTTAGTTTCTCAAATGGCGTGATGTTGATTTCAACCAATCGGAAAAAGGGTTACGTCGAAAATTGACATTTAATTAATTCTGGCCAATCGCTATTTTCACGCTCAGAATCTGAGCGTGAAAAACGGAGAAAACAATGGCGTCCTTGCAGGCGTTCCTTTCCTTTCTCCCTCGCGTGCCCCACGCGCTCTCGCGCGCCCAAATTTCCCCTTCCCCTTCCTCTTTTAACGCCTGCCACGCAGGCTAGGTAGATATATCATTTGCGTTCCGGTTTTTAGTCATATTTTTTGATTTTCTTGTATCGTCGTATTAAACTATAGTTTACACACTACTGTATCATTCTTCGTCTTGATATCACATCCGCTACTGGGTTCTGTTACTCTAGACTACGAGTAGTCCCCATTTTTCCTCAGGGACAGTAGAGCGAGCGAAACGCGAGCGCGCGTAAAAATCACCCCCCGCGCGAGAAAGGCGAGACGCGGCGGTGAGAGTCTCGCCTTTCTCGCTTTGGGTGATTTTCACGTGCGCTCGCGTTTCGCTGGCTCTACTATTCCTGAGGAAAAATGGGGACTATTCGCAATCTATTGTTTCTCGCACTGGTGGTAATCCATAAAATCTAATATATAAAACACGTACACGACAAAACAATTAGTGACCTCCTTGATAATTATTTCCCTATGATGTTTCTTCTATCAGCTCAAGAGACTACTCTTGATCAGCTCTATGACATTTTCTTTTTATTACTCCGTCAAATTGTTTGTTCTCACTGACATATCGTCACACTATGTCTCGAAACAGGAGCCTATTACCCTCGAAACTATAAGCGCTTACCTTTGAATGGAATTTTCGGTGGATTTTTTGGGGAAATGGAACTGAATTTTTGCGCGTTAAAAAACGAAACTGAATGAGCCTTATCGTTTTTTTCGAAGTTTCGAATGTAAGTGTAAAGCACTAAAAACCAAAGTAAAACACAGGTACCGACGAACAAAACTTCAAACTTTAGCTATTCAGTCTGACGGATAACAGCCACACGGGACTTCACATCTTGGCTGAGTTTAATCACATTTGAGGGAAACATCGTTCCACAGCCTGACTGCTCGTGGTCTAAAACTAAGTTTGTATGATACTGTATATTAGTTCTTGCAAATGGCATCACCAGTTGCTTGTTGTGCAATGCCAAGACGTGCGGGGGATATAGACAGTATAGACAGACCCTCAAGGGGCAGGATGGAGAAAGAGTTTAGTCCAGTCCTCAATTTAATAGGGGAACTGGGCGACCTTCTAAGCTATAGAGACTGTGGACCGAGCGAGGTTTAGTTCAGGTGCCGGCTGAGATGTTGCCAGTCTCGAATTTAAAGTATTCAGAGGCCTCTTATGACATTGACTGTAGAAAACTAAAGGCGACACATCTAAAACACACAACTCTACTGAAATAATCATTTGCTTACATCAGGACGAGTAAAAATGCCAAGACATCGTACTACTTTATGTAAAATACAAGACAAACTAGGAGAAACCGCATTGTAAAAAAATATCTGTTCTAACTGTACTCTTAATTTATTGGAACAAAACACATAAGAGCATTATTATATCACAAAAGGTTATGGTTATTGATCGTGGTGAATTAAATTAATAAGAAAGTACTGATCGTTCGTTTCACGATGTAGTCACTTTGTGGTGCGATTGGCGCATTTCCATCCTCGCTGTTTTGGTGAGCTGTTTCCCTCGGTGGTCCGGTGTTGTACGGCTGTCCAGTTGGTCCCGTTGTAGTGTTTCTTACAGTTTGATCGTGGGCGTCGCTTTTTGCGTGTGAGAGTTTTGGCGCTCTTTTTCTGGCTTTGCAGCGAGAATAAGAGAGCTGAAGGCGCGAGAAAATTCCAAAGCGTCTCCCCATACTCTGCACGGCTTCGTACCTTCGCCAAAACTTCGCTCGATCCCGCAGGCTAACACTCGCTTTACTTGTGATGGAAGAAGTCATTATGAGATTCCCTACGTATAATGAAATTGTAGAACTTTCCCTTTTTTTCACGGTGTTCCACCGTTTCAAAGTCGTGCTTGCTGAGTTTCAACGACTTTTTTTGTCTCAAGGCTAATCTACACGCTTACCGCCTTTCTTTCAACGGCCACTTTGCAAAAGATCTTTTTGATCTCCCTCTTTAGGTCTGCCTTGAAAAAGGCATAAGCCAAAGGGTTTACGGCGGAGTTTAAAACTAAAATAAGATCCCTATAATTACCTCTGTCACATTTATCATTTAAAATAACTGCGAAAATGCAACGGATATTAATTCCACAGAGGACAAGAAACAAAAAAACAACGATTATCATCATTATCAATGCAGATTTTTCACGACGTTTGTTAAACCTTAACTGTTTTCCTGAAAAGGTTGGTGCTCGGTTNTGGTCCCGTTGTAGTGTTTCTTACAGTTTGATCGTGGGCGTCGCTTTTTGCGTGTGAGAGTTTTGGCGCTCTTTTTCTGGCTTTGCAGCGAGAATAAGAGAGCTGAAGGCGCGAGAAAATTCCAAAGCGTCTCCCCATACTCTGCACGGCTTCGTACCTTCGCCAAAACTTCGCTCGATCCCGCAGGCTAACACTCGCTTTACTTGTGATGGAAGAAGTCATTATGAGATTCCCTACGTATAATGAAATTGTAGAACTTTCCCTTTTTTTCACGGTGTTCCACCGTTTCAAAGTCGTGCTTGCTGAGTTTCAACGACTTTTTTTGTCTCAAGGCTAATCTACACGCTTACCGCCTTTCTTTCAACGGCCACTTTGCAAAAGATCTTTTTGATCTCCCTCTTTAGGTCTGCCTTGAAAAAGGCATAAGCCAAAGGGTTTACGGCGGAGTTTAAAACTAAAATAAGATCCCTATAATTACCTCTGTCACATTTATCATTTAAAATAACTGCGAAAATGCAACGGATATTAATTCCACAGAGGACAAGAAACAAAAAAACAACGATTATCATCATTATCAATGCAGATTTTTCACGACGTTTGTTAAACCTTAACTGTTTTCCTGAAAAGGTTGGTGCTCGGTTTTGCATATAGATAACACGTAACATTCGTGCAAAACAAAAAATAATCATTAAACTTGGCAAGAAGTAAAATAAAACAAAAACCACCCAAAACAGAGTACGTAAGACGACTCTTGGGTTAAGGCTAAATAACAGAGATGATAAAACCAAAATGAAAACAACACACAACCCCCACGAGAAGGAAATGAGCTGGATAACACGTCTGGAAGTCATAAAGGTTAAGTATTTCAAAGGCTTCACAACAGCTATGTAGCGATCCAGTACCAAACTGCACATGTTGATCACTGATGCATCCTGGAACAGCCACTTCAAACTCTTCAGGCCTGTGTATAAACCTTGTGAGTAACCGCTGCCAATCCTTTCTAAGAGAAACAGCGAAGGAACAGCAGTCATCCCAACAAAAAAGTCTGCTACTGCGAGGGATACAACAAAGGCGTTGGTTTTGGTTCGAAGATGCCGTCTAGTACAAACAAGGAGGATAAAAAATCCATTTCCAGTCATCGTCAGAAAGGAAAAAAACCAGCCGAGAATCCAAAACCAAGTTTCCATCTTCATCTCAGTTAAGTTGTTGATCCGACTGGCGATATCAGCTTTTGAAAGGTGAACTATGGAATTTCGAAGGTTATTTTCTCTTTTCCGCTCTTTCGAAACCTTTTATTTTTTTACGATACACGTGCACAATATTTCGCTTTTTTTGACAGGGTTCAGTTCAGTTCAGCAGCTAAGCAAGACTAAGGAACTTTTTATCAGCTGAAAAGATCCAATAATCATTGATTGATGGAATTATTGTTAAACGACTATATGTGGAAGCGATCTTGTTCTTTTCATTGCGACTCTTACTGCGACTTCATCGCTTCTGGAAACCAGCCCTCTAATAGCGAGACAGCACACATTTGTATACCGGCAGCCAATCTTGTTCGTAAGGGCTTTGGCAGGGCTCTTTGTTTAGCTGGTGGTCTCCAGTAACAAGGCATAAAGAGATTGTGCTCGGCAACTTTTTAACAACTCTGAGCGTCTTTTTTTATGTGTCCATGGTTCATTAGAATTGGAACAGCAACACATGGCTTTCAGATGATTTCTTTTTCCTATCGCTCAAGTGAGTTTTCAAGTGTGGTGTAGATGTAGATCATACATTGGCTTCTTTGAAATGCAAGCGAAAGTACATTTTACCCCTTCACACTAAAAGTAGGTTCCAAAAACACTTAGATTATAACCTGCGATCACGATTTTTTTTCTAAAAAAAAGAGCTGGCGAGGCGAGAGAGAATATATAATCAGCAATTATTAAAAAACAAGAAGTCCAAAGACTACTGTCATAACAACGTGTATTGCTTTTTCATAACAATATTTAGGCCAGCCATACCAGCTTTAATTCAGGTTAACAGATGTTACTTAATTTATGATAGGAATTATAATATTATATGGATGGAGAATGTCGCAATAAAAATTGTTTAAAAGGGAGAGGCGAAAATGACGTACAACATAAAAAAAAGAAATTTATAGGGATATTGATAATTCGTCTCGGCGATTTAGGCCATAAGGTTCAAGGACACATTTAACGAATACAGACGTCCAGTCGTCAAAACTAACATTAACTCTAAACCAACTACTGTTTCAGAACGTCTTCTGTCCCCACTCTGACTATTCTCACACTGACATGCAGTTAACTCCCACAAGTCGAGAAAAATCATTCTTAAGGTGACTCAGTCCCGTACATTTGATAGACAAGTCCTTGAAGCTAATGGCCTAGACACCCGTGACGAATTACTGTAATCCAAATCCTTACTAGTTTTTCTTTTTTTATACATTGTACTTCATTTACGCTTCTCGCTTGTAAAAAAAATTATTGCGACATTCTCCATCTATATAATATTCCAGGAATATTGTAATTCCTATCATAAATACCTTAATACCGTAAAATTCCGAAAATAAGCCCTGGGGCTTATATTTTTCAAAGGCCCTTTTTGAGGGGCTTATTTTTTGAGGGGCTTATTTTCGGAGGGGCTTATCTACGGAGAGAAATTTACGTTTCAAAATCGATTGGGTTAGCCTTATAGTTGTAAGGAAATTTACCGTTTTTGCTTTGTATTTGAGGGCAATTTCCAAGTACAAGCCCCCAGTGGGGGCTTATATTTGGAGGGGCGATTTAACGGAGGGTTTTTTGCGTTTTTAGTTTTGGGGGCATATATTCAGTGGAGAGGCTTATACATTGAGGGCTTATTTTCGGAATTTTAAGTTATTTTTATCAGTTACGATAAAGCAATATACGTTGCCTTTTCTGATCAGCTTTGGAGTAGTCTTTGGACTTCTAATTTTTTGATTCTTAATATTTTGGCTGATTAAATCTCTTTTCCAAAGATCTAACGTTGACAACCAGCAGGATCTTCGTCCATGGTTTTTGCAGTTCATTTCTTTAGCAATTATTGAATGAGGCCTTGAATGAGGCCGTGTATCATCTCAAGAATTATGGAGATCAAGGAGATTAAGGAGGATGCTATCCACCACGGCCAGTTTTTGTTGTTGTTCTTTACTCCCTGGTCCGTGCACCCACGAACAAGGCAGCAGCAAATTCACCCATAGACCTCTGATCCATCAATAGTCATTAGTAGGTTTGATTTACAATTCTAACATGACTTCGAGGCGTTCTATATTTTTCTATATTTGGTTTGGTTTTCTTTGTGAGTCTGGGAAATGCGAGACAATGGAGTAGTGAAAAATTTGCACT